ACAAGATGAGCTAGGGATATCTGGCCATACTAATAACAATAACTAATAACAAGGGATATCTGGCCATAACTAATAACTAATAACTAATAACAAGGAAGCTTAGACAAAGACTACTAAAGTCAGGCCAAAAGAACCCATGAGCCATTTTGAAAAATCTCCCAATGCTCTTTGACTTCACATGAGGATAATTGTAATGGATTGAAACCAAATATATTTAAGTCCTTAAGTCAATAATGACATTTTTATTTTTTTATTTAAAAAAAAAATTTAATGTTTATTTATTATTGAAAGTCAGAGAGAATCAGAGCATGAGCAGGGGAGGGGCAGAGGGAAAGGGAGACACAGAATCTGAGGCAGGCTCCAGGCTCTGAGCTGTGAGCACAGAGCCCGATGCGGGGCTCGAGCTCAAAAACTGCGAGATCATGCCCTGAGCCGAAGTTGGACGCTTAACCGATGGAGCCACCCAGGTGCCCCAATAATGACATTTTGAAACAACTAATTGGTCACCTTCAGAGGATGATAGAAAACCAATTAATTACATAAAAAATGAATAAGTAAAGGTAAAGAATCAACATTTACTTTGCCTTTTCCATATGAACTGTACTAATGAGTAACCAAATAGTGCATGAGAGGAAGTACTTCATTATAAAGGTGTTCCAACTAATAAATGAGAAAGAAGTGTCAATTTTAGAAACTGAATGAATCAATGATCTAAGCAATAGACATCAATACTACTAACATCACAAAAAGAGGAACAATCAGACATTGTGTGCCTTCTGATGAAAAGCTACACCACCACCTGTGATCTTGCCAAAACCATCAAGTATGAGCCAGATGAGACTCTGGGTCCAACTACCAATTTGCAAGAGGTATAGAAGACAGAGGAGCATGTGAACTATGGCATGAATGTGCACTTGGGAAAATCCACACTCCTGGAAGCTCCAGGTGACATGCCCCCGGTCCTTCAACTGTGGTTGGGGGAGGGGGGCGGCAGGCAGGAGGTGTACCTGTAGATTAAAAGATGTTAAAGAAATTGCCAGAAAATCAGCGAGATCCATCCATTGCTGTGTCCTTCAGCTCCGAATTATTCAACCACAAATAACTGCAAATTTGAACCTCCTGAATTTCACGTTAAAGTGCATAGTTCTGAAAATACCTTTTAAATTAAAATTTTAAGACAAAAAAAATCTCTGTGCTGCTTGAACATTTAATTTTTGTTAAGTTTATTTATTTTGAGAGAAAGAAAGAGTGCATGCACAAGAGGGGCAGAAAAAGAGAGGGAGAGAGAATCCCAAGCAGGCTCCACACCGTCAGTGCAGTGCAGAGCCCAATGTGGGGCTCGAACTCACAAACCCTAAGACCACGACCTGAGCCGAAATCAAGAGTTGGATACTCAACTGACTGAGCCACCCAGGTGTCTCTTGTTTGAATGTTTAAATGTATTTTTGATAATTCAGTCAGAGAATGTTTGTCTTCTGGAGTTGGATGTATTAGATTTACAAACAAAAGAAAACCACCAAAAAGGGCTTTTTCAACTAATCTTTTATTTTCTTCAGTGCAGACTCCATGTAATGTCATCCATACCCTTCCCTTTAAGTCCTACATGTCTGATGTGTTTACATCCAGAAGAAACATTTACTGGCACCTGCCTTACCTGTAATTTAAACTTCAGGTCTAAAATTACTTATCCTGAAATTGATTTCTGTATTCCTTATTTTGATCATTTCAGGTGACTGTCAGTATCTTTTGGAGCCAGAAGAGGGCACTGCAGAGCAGCATAGCTCTGAGTACTTGGACTAGCAGACAGTGTCCTTTGCAGGAAAAAAAAAAAAATGTGCAAAGCTCTACTACAGAAATAACGAAAAGGGGAGGGGTACTAGATAATCACTATAGACTTTCTTTATTTACTAGAAAAAAAGAACCGTTAAAATATATAACTAAATACATATCTGGGCTATCATATATGTTTAGATATAGATAGATGACAGATAGATGTAGATGTCAATGTTTCTTCTTTTAAAACATCCTGAAGCTAGAGGTAGCTGGCTGGCTGGCTGGCTGGCTGGCTGGCTCAGTGTGTGCAGCATGGGACTCTTGATCTCGGGGTCATGAGTTTGAGCCCTATGTTGGGCATAGAGCTTACTTAAAAAATCAGCCAATCGATCAATCAGTAGATCCTGAGGCTGAATCTGAAGTTCTTCCATTAGAGTATTTATTCTTTTGCTACCTCTGCTGTTATAAAATCAGTTCTCAGGAAGTTCCTCGTACAGATTAATAGTGTATTTTACTTTAACTAGTTCGGGTTTAGGACAAAGGAGATCCAGCAGCCCTTTAGCAATCTTAGACGGCACAGAAATAATTTTGGAATCAATATAATAAATATTATCCCCAGTTTCTGCAAAGGTATTTTTCTAACATGAAGAACTCTGTGTTAAGTGTCAGCTGCTCAATTACAGGGCAGTAGGTAGGTGACTGAATTCAGACCATCACCTTCACTAAGGGAAAGATGACTAAGGCATGTCAGTGTCCTTCAGAGATGAAATAAGGGGAGTGGGGTCCAGACCTCTCCCCAAACCTGCAGTCTTGGGGCCTCCGTAGCCCGGGCCTTTCCCATGACAATATGTGTGCTTAGGAACCAAAGGGCAAAAGCACCACCATGATGAGACCCTTCTGTCTCTGCAAATGACTTTAAATAACATTCCTTGGGAGATAGGCTGTCAGCTCTAGGAGGTTAAATCCATGCCCAAAGTCACCTCACAGGGGGAGGGGAGGAGATTTAAGAAAGTTTTAGGATCCATCATGGTAAACAGCCTTCCGTGCACTACCCTAAAAATGTAACTTCTGAAAAAAATGGCATCCACCCTTATTTCCTTGTGTGTACATTAACTTATTCTTCCATGAGTTCTGATGAGTAAAAAAAACCAATTCAGTTTTTCATTATTGAAAATATAAGCGTGCTCCATCTTTCTTCATATGAGGGAAATTGCCAATGTGTTCAATGATCTTTCCCTTTATTGCAGATCTGCTGTGAAATACAAAAATTATATTGCTGGATATGGTGTTATCTAGGTTGTCAGGTGTGGCTGAAAAGACCAGTTTGTGCCTGTCACTTCCTCTCCAGCTGTGGCCATATGGACATGTCGGTCGACAGTACAGTATTTGTTTATAGGCTTGTTTGTTGTAGAATGGAGCTCTGTGACTTTGTACCTGAAGTCACTATGTTGTTTAAAAGAAATTAGACAGTCTGTTTGTACTGGATACAGAGTTGTTCTGTCTCCTGCTCATTTTTTTTCCTCCCTCAAATCTGTTGGAAACACAGTATGCCTTACAGTGTTTCTTCCACCGAGCTCAGCACGTAAGCATATCATCTGCTCTGGATCTCTTTGCCCCACGCATGCATTTCCAACTGCAGTCCTTTGCTCACAGCCTCCTTTGCTATGAAAATCTGAACCATCCTTCAAGGCCTAGTGCAGTGTCCACTTCTTCAGTGACATCTTTGCTATTTCAGATACAGCTATTTGTGCCCACCCGAAGTCGTGCAGCCTTCTCATCTTTTCTGCTGGACACAGCAGCCAGCACCTTACTGTCTACTTTTTACTGGTAACCTCATGCATCATAGCCTTGCCTTTGTAACTAGGCTTTTCGATTCAGGTAAACAATTCTGATTTGTGGGTAAGCTGTATCTCTAATAGTCACTAATATCATACTAAGTGCTTAGAAAATCTAACCTGATCTACTGATCAAGATGAGTAGGTCGTGGGGCACCTGGGTGGCTCAGTCAGGTGGTTGTCCCACTTCAGCTCAGATCATGATCTTACAGTTGGTGGGTTTGAGCCCCGTGTCGGGTTCTGCACTGACAGCTCAGAGCCTGGAGCCTGCTTCGGATTCTGTGTCTCCCTCTCTCTCTGCCCCTCCCCCACTCGCACTCTGCCTCTCTCTGTCTCTTGAAAATAAATAAATGTTTAAAAAGAAGAAAAAAAAAAACAAAAAAGATGAGCAGGACGTTGTCCAAGTGTTATCTCTGGTCTGACTATTGGAGTTACCCTTCCTAGTTATTTGTTATTATGAATCTGCCTAGATCGGCATGCTTCCCTGTTCTTTCTCTGCCCTCTGATTGCCCACTTGAGTTTCCTGCGCACCTGTCACCCCTCTGACTTCTGCAACTATCAGGCAGGACAGAGCTGAATTTGAGGAATCTTCTGGTTTATAGGCAGCCTCCAGGATTTTGTTTATCTTAGTGCTTTTCCCTGGAGTAATTTCATCATTGCCAACTAGGAAGCAACCTTGAAAGCTCATCTCATTTGTCTCCATGTCAGTGGACAAAGCAACTTCTGAACTCATCATTCAGATTAGTACCAAGTCAGAGGCTAAGACCCTAAAACAGGGGATGCCTGGGTGGCTCAGTCAGTTAACCATCTGACTTTGGTTCAGGTCCTGATCTCACAGTTCATGGGTTCGAGCCCCATGTTAGGCTCTGTGCTGACAGCTTGGAGCCTGAAACCTGCTTTGGATTCTGTGTCTCCCTCTCTCTCTGCCCCTCCCCTGTTTACACTCTGTGCATGTGTGTGTGTGTGTGTGTGTGTGTGTCAAAATAAATAAACATTAAAAAAAATAAAAGAACCTGAAACAGGTGTAAAGTGGATTAGAGAACAGTTTGCTGGATGATAGCAAGAAGCAGTCCAATATTTGTCTCAACGCTACATTCTCTGGATACTGAAAAGCCTATTCAGATGTAAGACATTATTACTAATGAGCACAGCCAGTGTATCACCACCATAGTTGTGACGTGTGACCTCACAAGCTTGTTTGCATTTCTGCCCAAATAAAAGTAAAAATAGAAGGTAAAATTAAAGAATAGAATCACTCATATAATGATGCGTCAGTAAAAAAAATTATGTTTGATGTTTTAATACTGTTCTCTATATAATGTATGTAATGATTTGTCAGTATATTATCCCTTCACATTCCAAAACTAATAACCCACACTTACAATTTTTCAGCTTCGCAAGTCTGTCTTCAGCATCAGGGCAAGGAATCTTCTAGAAAAAGAGACTGCAGTCACTAAAATCTTAAGGTAACACCATTAAACACTGATACATATTTAACCCTAGTGGGATTATATTCAGCAAAAAAACTCTTTTCTCTTTAATGAACTAATTTTCTGAGTATCAATACACACTTTCTGCTAGAAAGTAGGCCTGTGTAACTATGTAGTTACAAATAATGTCAAATACATCATTTATATCTTTCCTGGAAAAATAATATTTTATTAGCTCAGTCATGCATTTTTCTTTTCATGCCCATACACATAAATCATTAAGTATAAACATTTACAAAAAGATGACCATAACTTACTTTTATTCTTCCATGTTTTATTTCTTTTGTGATATATAAAGGACAAATCACAATCTAAGGGGGAAATTGTAAGCTTTTTAGAAGTAATTATGATTTATTAACCTATTAAGAGTAAATGTATTTAAAACCTATAAGAATCAAAAGCATATCCATTTTAAAATGCTTAAGAAAATGTGTAATTTCAACAGTGGTTTCTTAAACCTGCCTTGATGAAGTATCAGAAAGGAAAATCAGGCTAGCTACTTAAGAGTATTTTACAAGACTGTGTCATAACGTGAAAGAGCATGATCTTTATAACAATGCACGAGCATTCGGAATGCTATTTATGGTGCACATATTACACAGACGCATGTAACAATACAACTAAATACTGGAGGCTAGAAGGAGAATGGTTGACAAGGTGAATGGATGAATTTATACTGGGAAGACCCTTCCCAACTTATGCTGAGAGGAAGGAGTTAGACTGTCTTCTAGTCTACCTTGGTTCTAGGAATGGTCATTAAAGAGTTTTTGCCAGAGTGTATATATCACAACTTGGATGACTGTAATGAGGAAATAAGGCTAATATATATGGTTTGAGACACTATTTTGAGTTTATAACAGTACTTGAAATTTGTGTGCCAAAAACAATCCTAGTAACTAGTCAAGACAGTATTCTGGTATTCAATCTTTTATCTGCTGACAGTTCGTGTGCAGATATGAATATGTGCTGCAGTGCCTTTTATGAGAGGAGAACAATCATTTCTGGGCTTATTATGTATTATCACCACAAAATAAGATGAGATGATCATAAAAGGTCTGGTTGAAATAGAGAAAGGAAAGCTTTCTCAGCAAATCTCTAACAACCTGCGTCCCAATTTCAGTTTGAGTCCAATTGGCTCAACCCTGGCATTGCCATCAGATAACGTCATGGGGGGCCAGCCTTGAATGCTGCATGGTACTCCAGGGTCTTTATCAAGCTGTAACTACTATACTAGATGAATTCCTGGAAGGATCAATCCCTAGCGTCTTGAAGATGCTCCTCTGTTCACACAAGACAGACCATGCCGTGCACTGACGGGGAAGAGAATTCAGCCTCCAATCCAAAGGACCCACGAGGGGATTGTAATACTCTGAGCCTGTATTCAGAGTCTACTTACCAAATTAGGAACCAAAATGACATTACTCACCTACCCAGAGTAACTACCTTCTTGAATGTACCCTGGAGCTCCCAGAGACTTCAGAGCACAGGCAGACAGGCATCCCTGGAAGAAGTCACTTCCAGAGCCTCACCTCTCTGTGAATTTTCTTAAATTTGGTCTTCCAGTTTTTCTTTTCCACTACCTTTTCTTTATTCACCTGCTCCCAGTTTACAAACACACACACACACACACACACACACACACACACACACACACACAAAACACAGTGAGATTGTAATTCATGCACAAGGAAGGTGAAGCTATGGTGCGTATTGATCTGGGTTGCCAAACACAGTGACTATTCCCACGCAAGTTTCTCCAGAAAGGGGATCCCATTGGGCAACAGCTTATTGTCTATCTAGGTGACAAGTTTTTGGAAAACCTCCTTCCAAGAATTCATCTACCTTAGGGTTAGGCCTTAGAAATAACACAGACATTACAAGAATTAAGGTCAATACGTCAAACTGATAGTTTCTTTGGGTGCACTTACCTTTTTTCACTCATCATATAGTAGCAATGATAATAATAATAATAATAACATGTTATAGGAGTTGAAAAATAAAGTCAGACTTTTTCTGACAGATTTGGCTCATCTGCTTGATAATGAAAGCTGACGTCATGGTGCCCAATATCATAAAAGTGAATTTATTGGATGGATAGAACTCTCTGGTGTTTTCTCAGAGTCATATTAAAGCACAGATGTAATCGTGCTAGAAATCACATCCTTTACCGCTAAATAACATTGCAGGGAGGGATTTAGCTGTTGATTTTTAAATGTGCAGAAGTGGTTTTAAAAAGAGAATATTTGTGGAGTTACCTGAGCCAAATTTTTAAGACTATTAGGGAATAGGGACGCCTTCAGTCTTGCCTAATAATTGTGTAATTTGAGGAACACCCAGACCCAGTAGCATTTTACTACAGCCCAGCATATTACAAACTGAGAGGCAACTGTAGGCTGCCAGAGCTGCTACTTGGTCAATCTCAGGAATAAGAGGCTACAATTAGAAAAAAATGAAGACTTGTTTAAGAATACAAATTTGATCTTTAGAAAAGCCATTTAGCTCTTTTTCTGTGAAAATGTTTTCCTTGTTGGTGCTACATTAGTCTCTGCAAGAATTAAGGGCGAGATGTCAAACTGACAGTTTCTTTGGGTGTATTTACCTTTTTTCATTAATTGTATAGTAGTAGTAATGATGATGACGATGATAATAATAATATATTATACCTGCATTATAATGTAAGAAGGTCAAGAACTGATTGGGTCAATACCTATGGGTCCATGGGCATTTTTCTATGCTATTTTTCAATGAACAAGAACAACAAATGGAAAGAAAAACAAAGAAGAAGGGACAAGAGAAATTAAAAAGAAAGAAAAGGAAAACATTTGCAGTCACTTCAGGGTAAGCAATCAAATAGGCCTACCCTATATTATGGGAGCAGATGAACGTGCTAACTAACTTTATTGGTGGCAATCACTGCACGATATATACGTACGTCGAATCATGTTGTATACCTTATATTTACACAACGTTATTTGTCAAGTATCCCTCAGTAAAGCTGGGGGGAAAAATGGCCACTCCCATGACCCTTTGCATTTTGGAAGGAGGCTTTGAAAGAAGGAAAGGACAAGGAGGTACAGATTCTGTATCTTAATGGATGGGTCTGCCTTGATACAACAGAAAAGAAGTGCAGCAGAGACTTGTTTTAGTGCTCTGTCACTCTCGATTTTCCTAGTCTTCTATTTTCATAGCCTTATTGTCCTTAGTTTCATCTAAGAGGTTCCTCTTCAGGGAGGTAGGCAGAAGGTTATAGGAAGACACAGAAAGAAGACCTCAGCCAAATCATTTTGGCAACAGGTGGGCATTTGTGCTGATTTGGGTGCACAGAGAGATAAGTCACATAAACTTTAAATCCAGTGTGATTTAAGAAGATACCATGAAATATTAGTGTCTTAGAAATAACTTTTAAAAATAACAAATATTTGGGGAAAATAATACAAAACAAATCCCTGATCTAAGGTATCTCAAGACCAGGCTGTGTAAACAGGTTAATTATTTAAATCCCTGATTTTCCAGGAATTTAAAGATTGCAGGAGGTGATCCTCAGGGTCCACCTAATTCTAACATAAGCTACTAGACTTGGTGTCAGAAGGCCTGGACCAGCATCTGGCTCTGCTCCTCCATAACCTTAAGCCACTCACTTACCTGCTGCCTTTGCAGCATAGACTGCCCCAAATGGTCACCTGAATAATCTGTTGGTCAATCAGAGCAAAATTTAATACTCATCACAGTGAGGCAGTCTCCCACTGCAGCACTCTTAATAATACCTCACAAGAGATAGGTCAGGAGTGGATATTTGTAGGATTTGGGGTTTGGGTTTAAGTGTTGTTAGTGATTGATATTGGGCAGAATTCTTGATGTAAGAGTTTAGACAGTTTCACAATATATACAAAACATCAAATCATTATTTTGTAATGCTGTAATGTGTGCTATAAGCTAATACAACATTATATGTCAATTATACCTCGTTTAGTTTTATTTTTTTTATTTTAGAGAAAGAATGCAAGTGGAAGAGAGGGGCAGAGGGAGAGAGAGAGAATCTTTTTTCTCTTTTTTAAAGTTTATTTTTTGAGAAAGAGCGAGCAGGGGAGGGGCAGAGAGAGAGGGAGAGAGAGAATCCCAAGCAGGCTCTGCACTGTCAGTGCGTAGCCCTATTTGGGGCTCGAACTCATGAACCATAAGATCATGACCTGAGCTGCAGTTGGATGCTTAACCGACTGAGCTACCCGGGCACCCTGAGAAAGGATCTTAAGCAGGCTGTGTGCTCAGTGTGGAGCCTGACACGGGGTTCAATCCCACAACCCTGGGATCATGACCTGAGCAGAAATCAAGAGTGAGTCACTCAACTGACTGAACCACCCAGGTGCCCTGATATACCTCAATTAAAAAAAAAAAAAAGAGTGTAGGACTCTCCCGGATACACAAGTAACAAGTACGTGTTATGGATAGGTACCATTACTTTTCTGGGGAGGGCGGCACTGGGAGTGAGGGCACAGTAGAGAGGGCATCCCTTTGCCACTCTGTGCCCCAGTGTTCTTTCCACCCCCTCTGGCTCCACCTTTCATTTGTCAGTTGTTCAGTGGAGTTTGCATGTCTGTTTTTCACTTTCCTTCCTGATGTGGGGTGATTTCTGAAAAGAAAGAAATCAGTGGTGAGTTTCTGCTGTCCTCTTCACTCCAGAAATCAATTCTATTCTGCCCTTGGATTTTTAGCCATATACATGTATTACCTTTAAAAATAAATACAACTAATTTTTATTTATTTTATTTTTTTATTTTTTTAATGTTTTTATTTATTTTTTGAGACAGAGATAGAGCATGAGCGGGGGAGGGGCAGAGAGAGAGGGAGACACAGAATCTGAAGCAGGCTCCAGGCTCTGAGCTGTCAGCACAGAGCCCAACGTGGCGCCCAAACTCACAGACTGGGAGATCATGACCTGAGCCGAATTCGGACGCCCAACCAACTGAGCTACCCAGGCG